ATTTGACTATTGTGTTCTCTTTTTATGTGATGTTATTCATACGCTTGCAACACATGTCCTGGTATGGGCCTTCCTCAATGCTGGCCTCTAGCGAAGGAGGAGGACTAATGAGTGTAGCTCCTTAACGTAAATAAAAGCAGTGGTGTAAACCTCTAAAAGCCGTCAGGCTTGAAGCTTGGTAACTTTGGACACGAGCTAGAAGCATCCTCTATGATAGACAGCGCACCTGTGTGTGTGTAAGGAGGAACATAGCTACACCTTGGTGGTGCTTTTGAGTGATGTCAGTGGTTTAAATTAGGTGCTTTACAGGCTAAAGTTGTGTGTTAATTTTTGTTTTATTAAAAGGGTGTTTTGAAGTGTTTTTCCTACCCTCAGATCTGACTGGAGGGAATTTAAGTAATTTGTAAAGAAATGTTATGCTAAGTTCTAGCCTTTCTAGTCTTGGTGTGGTGGGGGGTGTGTGTGTGTGTTTTGTGTGCGTTCAAATAAAGTATTGGTTAAAGGGAGGTGACAGGAAGCTGTGCCATTGTGTGTGTGATAATTTCAGCACACTGAAGGATGGTGCTCAGTTTGGTCATGGTTTCCTGTCTTAGCTAAGTGAGAGGTCGCTCCCTCTGAACTGAAGGAAATTTATAAGCCTAAAATAATTCATGTTTGTGGAGTGGGGAAGTTTAGGGGGTCTGGGGAGTCTCTGACTCCTTCAGAACTCAAAGTATTTGCTCTTTAAGTCAAAAATGCATAGATTTCAGGGAGAGACGATCTCTTTTTCCATGTAAATCTTCTGAGGTGAGGTGGAGATTCTTGGCTTGGAGACTGAGCACGAGTTGCTTTTGGAAGTAGACTAGGCTTGTCTGAATCGCATCTTGCCTTGAGGCTGCTCTCACGACGGGTTTTGAAGGTTTTTCTTCAGAGAGGCGTGCTCCAGAGCGCTCCTTTGTTCTCCCATGGCTTGGCCCATGAGGTGGTGGTGGTTTTCTTCTTCCATGCGCTACTCTTTCTACTTCGAGTTGAAAGGGAAGCCCTTTGGGTAATAAGATCAGTGCTCTCCGATGTTTGTGTTGCAGCTTTTGCCAAGGCGTCCCCGCTTCAATAACTGCCTCACAAACTCCTGAAGAGCAGCACGGTGTGGCACAGTCAGGCACCTCCAGTGGTGATTCATCTCTGAGTAATGAGCATAAATAAAATAAGCTTCTCGATTATTATTTTATTTTTTCAGTTGAGCCGGAGGTCTGTTGCATGCTGAAACATCAAAATACACAAGTGTATTTTATACTGTAACATTGTGTGTGTCCAATATTAAAGAAAGGCTAGGATGGAGTTTAAAAATATTTTCTAGTTATTCAGTGTTTTCTTGGCATGCCTTTTTTTTTTTCCCCACTCTCTCCTTCCAAACACTTTTATTCTATAGGAAGTTTTGCCTTGGAGCAAAAACAAATGTTGGCGTTTCTTATGGATCAGGAAATCATTAAATTCAAACAGCTTCTGGGTGTATATAAAAAAAAATTGAGTGGTCTAGTGTTTTCATTCTTTCCACTAATTCCTTCTTATGCTCTCTGTTTTTATCCTTTGGGGTGGGGAGCTTTATTTTTATCCCCAAGTAACCGCAGGCCTAGGCCAGCCCTCCTTAATTTAGTGCCCGACTTCAAGGGAAGTGGGATAAAGCCTTCAGGAAGGAGTAAGTACCAGCCTTGAATAAGCAATGAAGAAGTCTGTTGACCTTGTCAGGGCAGGGCTTTAAAGCCCCTACTCACCTGTGGGCAGGGGAATTTTCCTGAAACCTTCAAGGACTTTTATTGCTTGTTCTCTGATAGGCAGCCGGGTGGCTTAGTCTGCTTGCACAAACAGAAATCTCCCCCTCCAAGTTGCGTGGTTTCCCCCTATGTCTTTTAAAGGATTATGGTTTTACTGTTTTACCTGTAATCGGAGGGATATGCTGCCTCTTAACAGGGAGCTGCTTTCGAGACTGCTCGTGTGCTCCCCTGGGTGTTCCCACTGGAGTAACCCGCATCCGCCTCGTGTGGTGAATGCTCATTACAGGCAGCCACGCCACCCTGACCTGCAAAACGTCCCCTTTCTTCTCCTTCACCCCGACAGGAACCGCAGCGCGAGCTCGCAGTGAGGTGACCGAGTGACTAGAGCGGTGCTGGTACCTGCTTGTCCAGGCAAGCCGGGCCAGCCGGGAGTTCCCTCTTCAGCCTTCATCTCACTGCAGGACAGCTCTGTTTTAATGCTGTTCTCAGTGCTGTGTCACGGGTGTCTATTTTGGTTTCATTTCCCCCCTCCCTGTTTTGGCTATCTTCCGAGGGCACAATTCCCATCTTGCTCTGCAAGCGCTCGGGCTCCAACTCTGGAAGATAAGATTAGAATATGGAAGGGAAAACCTTGCTGATAGCTCCCCTTCCAGTTAATTCTTCTCTAATCCTGTTCAAATTACAATCCTGTTGAAACCACAGTGAAAAGCCCTGGAAGAGACCTTGTTATGTAGGGACTATCTCTAGGGCTTTCTATGCAATTTTGGTGTTCTCTTGCCTACTTCAGTACAATACTTGGTTCTTTCTCTCTACTTTACATACTTTTCCTTACTATGACTTTAGAATCCCAGGTCCCCTTTCAAACTTTAGATCCTCTTTCAAACAACGTTTCTCCTCCAGTGTTTTCTGGAAGAGGTTTTTTATCGCTTTAGCATCTGCAACATTTTATTCCCTCAAGGTGTAAAGAGTCTGTTCTGCATTTTTGTCTGTTCTCGGTATTGAGACGCTTCAAACCTGTTCTTCCTGTAGAGGATTTCTTGAAAGTGTGTATGTGTGGGAAGCAGTGCTACTACTTCAGATGCAGGGAAAGCCTTTGAAGAGTTGGGGGAGAGGGAAGAGATTCAAATCTGAACATTTCTTGTTCTCCTAAGCATTGAGCAGCCTTATTTGGGCAACTGAGTAGGTTTCTTTGAGTACCTTCTTCTGGGGATGGAGGGCAGGAATTGCTCCAAGAAGCAGGTTGGGAGGGATGTTTGGCATCGTGGCTACGTAGCAGGTCCCACAGCCTGTGCTGTAGGGGCGGAGAAGGGCCGGTGGAGCCTGCGTGGGGCTCTACTCCCATCGCCGTTAAAACGTTCACGAGCTCCATGGCCTCGCGGCAGAGAGCTGTGGCTGAGGTCAGAAGGGACCTCTAGAGATTATCTAGTCCAACCCCCCTGCTCAAGCAGGGACACCTTGCTCATTTATCAGATGTGCTTCTTACAGGGCTGACTACTTGGTTCACCTTTGGATTTCTTAAAAACTTTATAGTGCTGAGGTCCATACGGCTCCATATTTTTGTTTGTTTCGCCTGGCAGGCCATGAAAGGATTTTGAGAAGGCCTCTTGGCTGCCCTGTCCAGGATGGGTGACATCTCTCTCAAGAATTCATATTCCTGCCGGAGGAGCCTTTGAGGAGCTAATGGGAGCCCTTGGGAATGGTGAATGTTGCAGGCAGTGGCAGGGCTGGGGGGGGGTGGAGTTGTTTCAAAAAGAGCATAATACAGAGATGAAAAGGGAATGGAAACTGGGTTTGATAGTTTGGCTTTGAGAATTTCCTTTATCTTATGTCTCTGTAGTTGATTCAGGTCTTGCATTTTTTGCCTCTATTGCATGTTCCCTTTCTTTTTGAAAGGGTGGAATTGTTTAATTCTTTGGATTTAGGGCTTACTATATAATTTAGCCAACAGTGGAAAAAGGCATGTGATTGGCCTAGGACCAGAGAAGAAGGAATAACTGGTCGTAAGAAGGGGATGGCAGTCATCTTGTAATATTTTTTTTCACAGTAATACCTGATATGTTTTTGCCTGTCACCCTAGCAAACAGGCAAGATATTAACTTAGATTATTT